TGAAACTAAAAGTTACAAGTCAGTGGTAAATGTGTAAGGACTTTCCCTCGGTGACACCTTTCAGCCAACCACGTCTCAATAAGCCGACTCAGCTGAAAGCCGAGTTCAGCCACGCTCAATCCTGGGTGGAAGCAGGGCTGACAAACCTGAATCAGCACGGCTGCTCCCATATGTCAAGTAGTAATGGAACCAAAGACCAACCCATGATCACCTAGCGCTGTATGATAAAAGTTAGCTGAACTGCAATGATGGGGGGAAAAAAAACAAAAACCATATACTGCCAAACATTTATGAGTGAGGAGCACTCATCAGACAAACCAAGCAATCTGTCGACATCCTCCTGGGTGTTCTTTATTGTTTGACATTTTCTAGATAATGAACAATCCATTTATTAATTGATAAAATAATCAATATATTAATTGATAATACAATTTATCAGCCATTGCAGGCCCAGACTGAACTTTAAAAAACTTTATAAACTCCTGTAACAGTTGTTTGAGGAGTGTCGCCCATTTCATAGGACAGATCCATTTCCATTTTATCAAACCCAAATGTGAAACATTCATCACGTCGAGACCGATTTTTTTGCTTTTGAGTGGAAGGAGAAGACATATGTTTTTAACTTTTTTCTCTTGCACACTTAGTGACGTGTAACCTCCACAGCCACATCTCCAGCTGTTTAACTTAACTGCATCTGCAATGACTGATCAAGGCCCCAGTGAAGTGATACGAGTTTGACTACAGATTACACAGTGAAAACAAGCAGTAGAGTTTAGTAAAGAGACAGTAGAATGTTTGCAAGACTGTATCGCAGCTTTTGTTATTACACCACATTCTAACTGCCAGGTGTGCCACATTTTCACTATCATGTAATAATATTTTGTTAACAATGCACATCTGGCAGCACTGGAATGGGAGAGAAATCAGTCACATCAGAGGCACATTGTATAAGCTGCTGAACAATAATGTGGCAGGCCAACTACCACAAGTGAAAGTAGTACTCAAGTCCAGAGGTATTACTACAATAGCATTATATTCACAAGTGAAAATCCTGCATTCAACATTTCTCCTTTTTGTTCTACAATGTGGGGAAAAAAATAATCAGGCTTTTGCCACTCAGACAACAGCTGTCTGTCGGATAAATTGATTTTAACATATCTTCAGAAGCTCTGCTGGCAATGACAAAAAGGTAAAAACAACACCATGATCTCTTTTCACCAAAAGTAAACCACTGTTGACAATAAAGCATTATAGCAGAGGTACAATGAGCTGTGGCGAAGATCAGTTCACCACGAGTTCAGTGTTACAGCGGAGCACACAGGGCTCTTTGCAGCCAGTGAGCTCTGCTGACTGGGTTCTCAGCTGCACAAACATCCTGTGTGGCTGTGGCTTTAACCTGCCGCCTGCAGGACAATGACAATTTTATTATTTGATCATCTATTTATGGTGAATAGTCAATATCTCATAATATACATTTTATGTCATTTGGTGTTGGCCTTTTATTCGCTACATGTTATGATTCTTTACTGAAATCCATAAAAAAAAAAAAGCTTTCATGCCAATGTTTTAGCAGTTGAAAAAGACAAACAGTCATGTTTGGAAACTGTTGCAACAAAGAGCAAATCAAAATTTCTGTCTTATAATACTAAAACCAGGAACCGATGCATCCGCTATTCTACACAGCCATTGCCAAAGAAAAGTGAATCTGACCTTCCAGAAAAGTGGATTTCATGAAAAATTCTTGTTTTTTGCAACATATATTAGTAGCTGAGAGCTTTTACACCATGTTAAGTCCTACAAAAATTAATCAGCAAGAAACTGTAGTTAAGCAGAACCAAAAGTAACTTCAGCATCGACATGCTTAAAAACAAAAAAGCCAACTGTTGTGTCAAGTTAGGGCCCAGGTGTGAACTATGAAGGAAATGGTTGCTTCAGTCAGCTCACAGTAGTCATGGGAAACCTTTGTCTACAAAAAGCATGGTGTATTTCTATATCAGTCTCCTGATCTAACAAAGTACTGAGTCAGGATTATGTGTAGGCTTTACACAATGCATGTCATACTACAGAGAGATGTGGTCTTCGTATATACTTGTCTCTAACATAGTCCATATGCAACTGAGCTCCCAAGTGGCTCAGAGTTGACTCTCCATCATCCAACTGCTGAAATAAAGTCATGGAGCCTTCATGTGTAGAGCCTGTATGCTGCCAAGACTTGGACACTGACCTCGGACCTATAGGAGCCCTAGATGCCTTGGACTCCAGCTATCGTGCACTGGCTAGAAGGCCCGGTGTGTACTGTTTGGAGCCGTTTACATATATTTCAATTCATAAAGTTCATTTTTAAACATTACATTTATGTTGGCCTAATGAATTATATTCTTATTTCCTGTTTATCATTTTAGACTTGAGGTAAATTATTCTTTAAACTGCTGGTATTATTATTAATTCATTTTAGCTCATTGACAACTGAGACATCACTAGCCTAACACCAAGTCTTTACAGGTGTGTGATTAAATTACAGAGCTCTATAAATAGCTGTAGCTGTGGGTAATGGTTGTGTTCTGGTGCTACTGCAAGACGAGTGTATTGGAAAGGCAAATGTGTGGTGAGAATGTGCACATTTCACACAGTAATTCAGACCAATGTAGATGCAGCTGTCTGCAGATGAAATGATGAGGAAGTTACACATCAAGTTTAGAGATGTAACCTTATGGTGAAACCTTGTAAAGTTCTTCAATAACAGCTCTATCAATTAACTACCAATAATACTACTGAAGTTTATTAATGATAACCACAGCGATGTGTAATGTCAGCTGCTCCAGTGCTGTCAGAGAACTTCATCAACAGCACACAATCAGTAAAAGTGTACCTTTTCTTTACCGTTCTCTCACTGGAGCAGGGACCAGTATCAATACTCAAACAGATGTTCAAGGGTGTTTCGACATCCATTTTTGGGAGTAGAAATGGGATCAGTGCATGTGCATCCACTTTATAAAACAGAATTTAACACCCAACTTTGTGTATCTGCATATTGCACTTCTGTCCTTGTGCACACAGTTTCAATTGTGAACCCAGACAGAGTTTAATGCATCTGGCCCCAGGTTTCTGTGCACCCTTTAAATGAGCTACTGGTATGAATTTAGCAGAGCAACATGAGCCCCAGACTACAGAGCTGCTCTGCTGCCTCCAGCCCTGCAGAGGAATTCAGCTGGGCATTCCTCTGGAATACCAGCATCAAAACACAGAGACAGAGGGAGAGGAGCTTTATTCAGCCTTATGTCACCAGCAGCCAGCACAAGCACTAAATGCAGCCAATCCCAGTGGAGTAAAGGAATGCGAAGACGAAGAGATTCTGTGGCAGAGGGAAGATAACTCATCTACGATTTGAGATGTTTTCAACTCCAAGAAAGTCAACTAAAAACAAGGCCGGCTGGAATACACAGTCCATATGCCATGTTCTGTGCTTACTTACATTTAAACCAAAGACTTAAATGAAATTGGTTATTGCACTTTATAGCATTTATTATTTTAACAAACTACACTTATAGTGAACATTTCTACAATATTAAAGCCCTAAGTACATGCAGTCAGACCAACCTCAGCTGATACTTGATAATGGAGTATTTTTGCATCCTTAATAAAAACAGTCCAGCAGCTGCACGTCAATATGAAGCAGTCTTTAATGTCTGGTGCGCTACCAAATACTGTGAACAAGTCATTGCTGGAACATTAACACCTTGTGTGTCAGCAGACACACGGCCACTGTCTCAACTTACAAGTCTTTTAAAAAAAAAAAAATGTTAGTAAAGTAAAAATAGTAAAGTATGCACACAAGTCAAGGTCCACATATAACCTTAACTTCAGCACTTCCCACCAAAACTTTAGCTTGGAAATGAGCAGGTCTGACTGAGCCCCCCCCCCTTGGAATTGGCTCAAGTCTAAAACAAACGATTTCTTGCGCCGGGGGAGTGGCAGCACATGTTGTCTTGACCAAATATGGCTGAGTGAAAACACTACGGTCCGTTCTCTGCAGCACACTGGAATGAAAACCAGGTTTCCTTAACTGGTGTGGGAGTGGGTCATGACACAACACGCTGACACCTTTCCTACACAGCTCATACTCTAGAGGCTGGATGTGGCTTAGAAGGCAGGTTACTAAAACTATACCGCCTCCAAGTCCAGGTAACATACTGTACTCATCCCTAGTAAATTCAGTTTCACTTGGCCCAGTCAGGGCTACACATGTGGATACAATGACACAGCATGGCTGTCAGACACAACTAAATAATGATCAGACATTCTGCCATGTTTCTTAATAAGACAATGTGCTATTAGTCTAGTTTTCCTCTTTGATTTATTTATTTATTTTTTTTTAATTGTTAACACCTCCTGTGGAGACTAACATACATCTCGGCTTTGTTGTGCAGGGAGATAAGTAGTAGCCCATGTCGAATGTCAACACAATGTCCTTAAACATGACTTTATTTTGTTTACATCTACTGCTACTAAACATTCAATCACAAACTGAATACACTGCATACCAGAAAATGAATTTGTGTAAAAATAAAAAACAAAACTAAGATGTGCCCATTTGCCTTTGGCTCCAGAAGCACTGAGCTTAAAATGAAAAATGACCTTGGCATGTTCCTAGGTGCTAAATTTGCTTGTTCTGTCTTTAAAAAAAAAAAAAAAAAAAAAAAAAAAAAAAAGAAAGAAAGAAAGAAAGAAAAGTCTGCAATTTAATTTGTCTTCTGTACAATGGTATCAAACCACCGAAAAGCTGAAAACTGTCACATCTGAGAGGCTGGAAGCCGAAGAGGCTCGGCAGGTTAACCTCCTAAGTGTCTTGATTTAGTGATGGCAAATTGGGTCATTTTTGATCAATCAACTAATCATTTGCAGGGATGTACCGATCCGATACTCAGCATCGGTATCGGCCGATACTGTGCAAAATTATTTGGATCGGATATCTAAAAGAATTTAATCCGTTCGATCCGATACCATGTTGAAACGTTTAGCTAAACTTAAACGGACATGTCGTAAAGCAAGTGACCAGGCCGCAGTATGTGTCACGTGAAGTGTAGGTAATGCATCATGAGTAGCACATGCTAGGCTAGTTTCAGAAGCTAGTTCCGCTATGTGGATATGTCAGCCGTGTGGACGTACTTTAGGCTTCCGGGTGAGGGAAGCACAACAGCCGAGTGCAACCTGTGCAACGCGAGTGTTTCCAGGGGTGGAAGTACTAAAGCCAACTTCAACACTTCAAACTTGATTAAACATTTGCGTAAGCACCACGCACAGGAGTACGAAGAATATATACAGACAACCAGTGCTAAAAAGAAAAGCGTGCCGCTTCAACAATCGCTGCAAGAAACATTACAGAGGCGCGAGAAGCTCGCTTCAGAGACCAGCAAGGCAAAGATGATCACAGAGAAATTGACTGAATTCATTTTGCTAGATGACCAACCAATTTCTGTTGTGGAAAATGTGGGGTTTAGACGCTTAATAGAACACATGGAGCCACTGTACGTACTGCCCTCTCGACATTTCATCTCTGAAACAGCGATACCAAACAAGTACAAGCAAGCGTGCGACTCAGACTCAAAGTGCTTGGAAAGCGTTGCCAGTTAGTTTTACGACCGACATCTGGACCTCGGACGTGTGTCCAATGGCTTTACTTAGTCTGGCAGCCCAGTGGATTGACTCAACTTTTACGTTGCAAAAAGCAGTGCTACATGCTAAGAGCTTCCGTGGCTCACACACTGGAGAGGCCACCGCTGCAGCAACAGAGGAAATGTTAAAAGCATGGAACATTGAGAAGAGTAAGGTTCATGTCATTTTACGAGATAATGCCAGTAACGTGGTCAAAGCAATGGACCGTCTTGGAGTTGCTAGTTTGGGGTGCTTTGCACATAACTTGCAACTTGTTGTAAACAAGGGACTGCTAGCGCAGCGTAGCGTAAGTGATGCTGTGTCTGTCGGCAGAAAAATCGTGGGTCACTTCAAGCACTCGCCACTTGCATATTCACGCTTAGAGGACATTCAGGTGGAACTGAATATGCCGAGCAAGCGTCTTCAGCAAGATGTACGTACAAGGTGGAACAGTACGTATTACATGATCCAGAGCCTTCTAGCACAAAAACGGGTCTTGTGTGCATATGCTGCGGAGTACGACCTGCCAGCTACATTAACTGCAAACCAGTGGGGGCTACTTGAAAAGACTGTAACGGCGCTAGCTCCTTTTGAGGAGCTGACTATGGAGGTGAGCTCTGCATCTGCATCTGATGTCATCCTCATTGTCTGTGTTCTTAAACGCGCTCTGCGTCGAGAAGACCCCGCCGACGAGGGGGCAAAGACCATGAAGACCACCCTTTTTGAGGCTGTGGACAGACGTTTCAGTGCCGTGGAATCTGAGCCATTATACTCTGTTGCAACGCTGCTAGATCCAAGATATAAGGACAGGTATGTGGTATCAAGTTCACTTTGTGTGTGTGGATAGAGATATATGAATGATATATGTAACAATGTTACATATCTTTATTTTTAATCCAGGTTCTTCACCAGTGCGGAAACCTCAGGATGTGGAAAAAGGCACTAATAGGGCAGTTAAAGATGGAAGCTTCAAGACCAGCACAGGAGACCTCATCTGAGTCAGGAGCCTCAAAGCCTGCAAAGAAGACTCCAAGGGTGGAAGGTGGAGACTGCAGTGGAATTTGGAGCATTTTTGATGAAATTTTGGAGGAAAGCACATCTGTTCCTGATTCAGCTACCCCTAGCGCATGCTTTGAAATTCAGACCTACTTCAGTGAGCCGACTATTCAGCGTTCAGACAGTCCACTGTTGTACTGGAAAGCCAACTAGTCCAGACTGCCCTTGCTAGCAACCACAGCAGCTAAATATCTCGGTGCAGAATTCAGAATTCTGAGATTAAAGTCAGAATTCTGAATTTAAAGTCAGAATTAAAAAAAAAAATTATGCAGTGGCCCTAATACTCTTCCGTAGACCAGTGTGGAGAGTGAGAAGCTTTTCAGCACAGCCTCCAATATCTTCAGAGACCAGCAAGGCAAAGATGATCACAGAGAAATTGACTGAATTCATTTTGCTAGATGACCAACCAATTTCTGTTGTGGAAAATGTGGGGTTTAGACGCTTTATGGAACACATGGTTTCCACGGCTGCACTTTTTTTAGTTGGATTTTATAATAAATATTTAAATTTTGTTTTGACTATTTAATAGTGGTGTGGCCCTGTAAAATGCTGCTAAAAGCTGCATGGTTAAAAATCCTAATAAAAAAGCAGCAGTGTTCAATATCTTGATTTATGTTGTGGGCTTTTCTTCCTTTTAGGGATTAAAATATTTCATAGTTTTGATACATGATTTTTAGATGGCCTGGTTAAGCAATAAATCTATACAAATATATTAACAATTTACTTTGTATCGGACAGGAATCAGTATCGGCAGATACTAAATTTTGTGGTATCGGATGTGAAAAACTGGTATCGAGCCATCCCTAATCATTTGATCAATAAAACACACGCTCCGACTTCAATGTGTAGTTCACTCAGTTTGACTTTAAGGACAAAGTTTTATCCAGACCCTTGGTATAATCACTAGTTCTTACACTGGATTCAACCGTCTCCACACAGAGCTGAGGAGAACAATCAGTGAGCTGCAGCTTTCATCTCCTCCGTACTAAGAGCAGCATCACACACTAGCTCACAAAGAGTCACAGATGTCTAATCAGCTGGACTGAAGTAGCTACAAGATGGTGAAAGAAAAGCGCACCTGAACAAGCTTTCGTGGTTGTATGCATTAGAAACAAGATGCATGGTGGCCTCGTGTTACTACCACTGTATCATCACAGAGACACAGCCTGTGAAAACAATGACAATTATGATACAGTAAACACATCCAGCCTCTCACACACACACCTCCACTGTAGGCATGTTGGAAGCATTACTCTACATCACTGTGAAGTCTTGCATATTATTTACTTGCATATTTGTGGCAGAAACAACAAAGAGCACACAGAATATAAATGTGGTACACTGAGTAAGGCACGTTTCCCGCAGATGTCGTCATTTAGTCCGAATGTGGATTAACACTGTAAAACCACCACTGAAACAGCTTTAGACCCAACATGTTTAACTAAGTGTTGTCTAATTCACACATGGTAAACGGGTACAAATTAAACACATTTTTAAGTGCTGAATGCCCATGCACTGTTCAGGTTCATTAGGAACACAGTGTTTCAGGAACAGACCTTCACCTGGGTTGCAACAAGCGATCACAGAGAGGGTCACACACCTGAAACAATTCTAACATTAATAACTGATGAAGAGCGACTAAAAGAGAGACAATATGTTACAGAGGAACAAAAAGAGAAATAAAGTGGGTGAGCAATGCAGAATGTTATTTTTATCTGCAAGACAACCTGGAATAGGGAAGACCAGATACAGCCTGCAAAGCAGCCCTTAAGCCTAATGCCCATGGAGCACATTTGACCAAACTTGACTCACCCCTTGACTCAATTAAAACAAAGCAAGGTCCTGATTAAAAGCATCCTGGCCATTTGGTAAGGTTGTTGGGAGAATTATTGTAATTGAATTGACTACAAACCGTTATTAGGCCTCACTAAATCCTTCCATACAAGGCTCATTGTGTTTTTGGCATGTTTGTAAATATAACCCTTTGTTATAGCCCTTGACTGATAGTACCTCACCGCTCCAACTAAACGTGTCTGCATGCAAATTCCTCCACGCTGTCGCACACCACATCATGGTGGTGTAAGAATTCACACCCGGAGGCTACGCTTTTTTTTTTATTGCTTGCTCTGGTAGGTGCACAAGGAATAGAGCGGGGCCAGCGGGTCAGAGGGTCAGATGTAGCCAGCACAGTGAGCTCGGTCAGGCTGAAGTGCTGCGGGTCAGAGAGCGAACAGTGCCACACAATAAAACACGCAACTCTGCCAGAGAAACAAAGTTTCACAAGGCTCGAGACAGCACGAGCGCGCGCGCTTACACACACACACACACACACCCGTGACTTCAACAGAATTTATCACGGAAACTTGAAGGCGTCCCTCGGTGTGTGATGTAGCCCCCCGCCCCGCGGTTCACCCAGCTGGGTATTCGGCCTGTTACTGAACAATACGCCGTTTCCTGGTAAACTAACCGTTGAGCTCCCACACACTTCGCCGTCCGTGCTGCTGCTACACATTAGCAGGCCCGTGTCTGCGTACTTTTACCAAGTTTTCTCGCTTCCACGCCGACTCTCTGCTGACGTCAAGGACTTGTCGCTACAATGGTGAAAGTTTTCATAGAGTCGGGCTCACCTGAGCTTGTGAATCCAGTCCCGCCGGCGACCACTGGGGCTCTGACAACCAGAAATGCTCGCGGTATAAGCACTTTCCGATACAACGCGAATTTTTAGCGAGGGGGAAAGACCAGATTGCCACTTTTTTTTTCTTGGTTCCCCTCCCTATCCGCTCCTACCACTGCTGTTTTAACTCCACCCTGGCTGTCTGCGTCGCCGTGCAGCGGGGCGGTGTCCTACTTTAGTGGAGCATTCAACGGACTGCTGCTCAGCTGCAGGCGGGTCCTCCTGCGGCGGACTGCCTCTCTTC